GTCTACATGCCTAAATGCACTGAGTTACCGCCATGTGATTGGCTGATTAGAAATTAAGTGTTAACGAGCAGTTGGACAGGTGTACCTAATAAAGTGGCCGGTGAGTGTATATCGTCAACCAAAATCTCCTGATCAGAATATATCAGAAAATATGATGGGGTTGATGATCAKCTAGCATTGCAACAAATCTTAACCTAATGTCTGTAAATCTGAATAAATTGTTGCCGTTTTTGTGTTCGCTAAAACCAGTTAGTCTTAAATTGTGGTAACAAAAGTTTCTGAGAGTCTTCTGTCAAATCCAGCAAACTTTTAAGAACAGCAGTTGTCCTCTGTGGCGTCTCCCCAGAGTCTAAAGCTCAACAACATTCTGCGTCCGAAGCTTCCTCTCACCTTGTGTGTGTGTGCTACCCTTCTGTGCACTGCGGACTGCCGGCTAGCCGTGTGAGGAGTCGCGCACATCTCTTGAAGTCTGAACAGAAAAAAGTAAAGCAGGACTTTTGAGCGTGCTGACTTTGGACAGACGCTTGTCGGTGCGACAGTCAGAGGAAACAGCTTACATGCAGGTATTGTGCAGTCTCTGGTGTGGTGGTAAAGTCTGTACGCCTTAATCCTGCACTTGGAGCTGAAGACCAGCGGACCTGCCAGAAGACRAGAAAAGACGAGGCCTTTAATCACATTTCCGACTTTTACACTCACAAAGTCTTCCTTTCATGCTAACGCTATGTTTTAAAAACACTTACCTGTGAAATATTTTAGTATTTTCTCCTTCTTTTTTGGATCTCTTGTAGATGAAACTGTGAGAAGAGAGTAAAGGGAAGGAAACGGTCAGTTTCCACTTAGTGTTTTAAGAGGGTCTGTTCTTAAACAATTAAAATAAGATAAATTTGTCAAAGAAGACATGGATAAGTTTCACACGAATATAAATAATTAGACTGCTCATGCGTTAACTTGGACTATATCACACAATTTGCTGACATAAAGACACATATTTATAACGGATCATCAACATCTACAGGAGTCATTATTATACTATATAATAATGCATAATAATAATTATTAACATATTTTTTCATGAATATTTTAACATAATTAGCCTGTTTTGTATCATATTAGAGGCTATTTAATTTCCTTGAATCAATTCATATATTATTATATATTTAAAATTAGGGTTGGGCACAATCGTATTGTGTGCAATTAATCGTCAGAAAAACATTAAACGATTAATTTTTGGCACTCGACGATTAATACGATTAATGCCACCAGGTGGATTAACCGCTTGGTGCTCCTCTGATTCAAATACGACCAACATTTTAAAAAGTTGTGTCATTTATTTATCTATCAACACAATTAAAAGCCTGATTTGACACTTTGGAACAGATTTTTACAAAGAGCCAATTTTCTCCCTATAAATTGGTCATGTGACTATAAGGGTGTCCAGGGACTCCGGGGGATTAATCGTCAAATTAATTATTATCGGCTAAAAACCACAATTAATCGTGATTAATTTTTTTTGCCAATATTGCCCAACCCTATTTAAAATATTTGCTTTCTTGCAAAAATTAGAAATTCAATGAGAAATGACATTCTATAACTCTACAGACTTCATGGTCACACTTTGAGAACCGCAAAGCTGACCTGAAAAACTAGCGGACTGTATGAGGCCCGCGAGCCATTGTTTGATAATCGTTGCTTTTCAGGCTGCATGTAAATTTAAATTAAACAGATGCCTTTCAGTTGGCTTCAAAATAATTGTGTTATATTTTGATTAAAACGAAGATGGTAAGCTTCCCTCCCTGCCCCCCCGCGGACACTCACCGACAACCGGACCCCCTCGCTCTGTTCTGCTGCGGAGGTCCCTCAGCTCCACCGACGACGACCAGCTCCCGGCTCGTGACGTTACGACCGGGGCTTCCGTTCGCGCGCTGTGGCGTCCCCGGCCCCCGTCCACGTGCCGCACCACCTCCACCATCCGCCTCGCCAGGCTGCGCAGCGCGTCCCCGCCGGCCGGCCGCGCCGGCGCCGCGGTGGGCGCGCTCTGGCCGCGGTGCTCGCTCAGAGCGCACATCAGCACGAGCAGCCCGGTGAAGACGGGCCGCCGCTGTCCGTTCATGGCTCCGGTGGGCGGGAGGAGGAAAACAATCATAAAGTATAAATAAAAACAAAGGAAGTCACTTCTCCCCGGAAACCTGCAGGAAGAGGGAAAGAAAGAAAGAAAATTAATGAGTTAAAAAACATGAACTTCCTCAGAATAAACAAAAATATTTACGCACCAAAAATTTAAATCCAAAGCGCATCAACAGATACAGAAACTGCACTTTAACATTCTGTAAAGATTGTTTTTCCTCAGCAACAATAAAATAAATAATAAATGTTTTATTACCTTTTTTAAACTCTGCAGAAATAGTGACTTTTTCCTGCGCGTCCAGACAAAACCAGCACGTGAAGAAGTTTTACTTAAAGTGTTCTGATCTGGTCCCACTTTTGTCCTTTTTATTTAAAAAAAAGTTTCCCAAAGAGGTGTTTAAGTTGTGATCATCCTCCAGACCCGGGCAATTAAAAGAAGATCCAAGTCTCGTCCCGCAGAAGTGATGGATCAGTGGCTCCCCCCTCCTCCTCCTCTTAAACCTGAGGTGAAGCTGACTTTTTTTTTTTAAATCCAGCCTCGTTCCCCTCCTGAGAGCTCCTTCCTCCGTGGACTAATTATAGGACCCACCTGAGGAGGAACAAGTCCGCGATTATTGGAGCGACCTTCACCCGAGCGCTGCGCAAAGTTTTCTGAGCGTCTCTCCTCCTCCTCCTCCTCTCCGTCACTCCATTTATGCGCGTGATGCGCGGTTACAGGAAGCCCCGTCCTCCTCTTTTAACACTTCCACTGAAATCTCCAAGTAGCCCCCCTGCGCGCGGCGCAGACACCCGGCTTCTTTTTTTAGTGGAAACGCTCTTCCTTCTAGTGATCCTCGTTTAGAAGCGCCGCGCGCGTCACGTCCGTCKTGGTGGCGGGAAACCCCAATTAAGCGCGTTTTAGGGACGGTTCCTTTGAAATCATCAGACGAAAAATAWAACCTTCTCGTCGGGGTAGTGCACGAGACCGCTTCTCACTGGAGATTAGTCTGCTGAGGCTGGAGCAGCTATCTTAAATTAGGGGCGTGCATGTGTCCCCACCCCACCCCCCCATCAACAGCCCACCCCTCAAACCTTCACTTTCACCCTGCTGCTTCAAAACAACTTTATTCTGCTGCCCGCGCGGCGTCTCCACGAGCCCAAATGTGTTTTTTTTTTTTTTCCTTTTTCCTAATCGGATTATTGCAGGAAATTTGTAGAGTCTGTTTTGGACTGAAAAKACTTTTTATGTTTTTGGAGACCGCGCGTGCGTAAAAGTTTGGTGCTGAACTGGACAGCGCGCGCAGATCTCCTCCCTGAACTCCTCTCCTCCAGGATGACTAACTAACTAACTAACTAACTAACTAACTAACTAACTAACTAACTAACTAACTAACTAACTAACTAACTAACTAACTNCTAACTAACTAACTAACTAACTAACTAACTAACTAACTAACTAACTAACTAACTAACTAACTAACTAACTAACTAACTAACTAACTAACTAACATAACTTGGCTGGTATCTGCTTTCTTTTTATGATTCACCCCAAACCACACTCTAAAAATGAAATGTTGGATTTACTTAACCATGTTATGTGACCTGGTTCCACTTAACTGAGTAAATTCAAAGCAACATGCTCATGTTCTTTGGTTAAAAAAAAACTAGTATATTGCTTTGAATTTACTCAACTCAGTTAAGTGGAACCAGCTAACATAACATGGTTAAGTAAATCCAACATTTCATTTTTTACAGTGCACGAGAAGCGACATTTAGATTAAAATGACGTCATTGTACTTTAAAATTTGTGACAATTCCAGTGCAAATAGTTGTTAAAAAAAAGGCACACATCAGTATCAGTTATGAAACCAGATAAATCAATAACAACAGAATGAAATCGACACTGTAAAAAAAGAAATGTTGGATTTACTTAACCATGTTATGTGACCTGGTTCCACTTAACTGAATTGAGTAAATTCAAAGCAATATACCAGTTTTTTTTAACCAAAGAACATGAGCATGTTGTTTTGAATTTACTCAACTCAGTTAAGTGGAACCAGGTCACATAACATGGTTAAGTAAATCCAACGTTTCATTTTTAGAATGTACTTGATCATATCGATATTTTGATCCTTCATTGATTAAAACGTTTTTTTCCAGGGTTCAGTTTCAGCAGGGGTTCGTCACTCATGCAGTCATCCTCTGTTTTTGTTTTTTTCCTCAGCACTGAGCCAGCATGATGGCAAAGCTTGACTCATGAAATATTTCCTTACAAGTGGGTATTTTGAAGTGTCGTCATGGAGAATTTGTGGTTTCAAATGACAGCTCCGTGTCTGCTGAGTAAGAGCAGCTGGATGTGGAGCATCACTGCAGCTCTCTGCTCTCTGGGAGGGGGAATTGGTTTTTTGGGGGTAAAATAAGTGGAGCGATGAACAAAAAGATGACCAGTTTTAGATCCAGTTTGGTTTGACTTTAAGAAACATGATAATGATGATGGTGATATTTAAAAACAGGAAAATTACCAAGTTTAATTTATTACTTTAATTAACAAAATAATGTGCAAAACAGTCCTTAAATGCTAAATACAATCACCATACAAAGTCAAAAAGAAAAAAATTGTATAGGTCTTCTGGACGGGTTCTTCTCTAATGAAACGTTTCGTCTCTCCTCCAAGAGACTTCTTCAGTCTGAGAGTTTCAGGCAAAATTCAGGCTTTTAAGCCCTGCCTCCATGTGATGTGATACTCACATCACATGGCTATCGTTGACACCTAATYAACACCTATTGTTAACAGGGGGTGGAGTGATACTGGCAATGGCCGCGCTGTAGGAGGGGGACAATTGAAAACGGAGGCCTCCACCTCTGTTTAATGATGGACGGTCTTTCTTCACAAAAATGGCTTCTTTTACTCCTCTCTCAAACCAACGTTCCTCTCTATCAAGAATGAGAACATCCTCATCTCTGAAAGAGTGACCGCTGGCCTGTAAATGAGTGTAAACTGCAGAGTTCTGGCCATTAGATGTAGCTCGTCTGTGTTGGGACATTCTTTTGAACAGTGGCTGCTTTGTTTCCCCGATGTATAACTGGTCGCAGTCCTCCTGGCACTTAACAGCATATACAACATTGCTCTGTTTATGCCGGGGCACCGGATCTTTGGGGTGAACCAGCCTTTGCCGTAATGTGTTTTGGGGTTTGAAAGCCACTGGGACATCATGTTTAGAAAATAAACGTCTCAGTTTCTCCGAAACACCCGCAACATACGGAATAACCACTGGTTTGGGTCTGGGTTTGGGGTCTTCATTTTCACCTGAAGGTTGCATGGAATCCTGTCTGTGTTTCCTGTCTGCTTTCAGGAAAGCCCAGTCAGGATAACCACACTGCTCCAGGGCCTGTCGTGTGTGTGATTTCTCTTTCTGCCTGGCTCCTGGGTTTGTAGGGACACTGTCTGCTCTGTGGTACAGAGTCCTGATCACTCCTAACTTGTGTTCCAGTGGGTGGTRGGAGTCAAAACGCAAATATTGGTCTGTGTGGGTGGGCTTACGATGTATGCCAGTTTCCAACCGTCCTCCATCCGAAACCGAGACATCGCAATCCAGGAACGCCAACCTGCCATTTTTACAACCTCTCGTGTGAACTTAATATATTCATCCACAGAGTTGATGTGATCAGTGAAATGTTGGACTACATACAAAGTCATTAAATTACAAAAATAAAAGTACTAAATACCAAAAGTTGGTTCTTTAATCACCAAGATTACTGTTTTTATTTTTCAGTGCTGACACTGCTGATTTTATAATAACACTTTCCTGACATTACAAGTACTTAAAAAAGGTACTTCAGTTCAGTGAAAAGTTTCTGCAGCTACCTGTTCGCTGTTCTGGGAGGACACCAAGGTGTTCCCAGACCAGTGCAGAGACATAGTTTGATGTCTGGTCTGGGTTTTCCCTGAGGTCTCCTGCCTGGAAAACCTCCCTAGGGAGGAAACAAGACATCCTTAGAGGAGCAGCAGCTCTCCTGCATAACAAAGTGTGCTATATTTAGTGCAAAAAAGTACGTACATTTGTGTTTGGTCAATTATTTATTTGTTGAAACAAAGCTCATTGGCAATAAATCGTATATCGTTAAAAAGCCTGTTAATTTCCCCTTTAAATGGTGCCACATTTGTAAGGAACATGCATTTGTGGGATGAACAGTAAAGCTGACTATGTAAAATTTGCCAAATTTTCTCTGTGAAACAGCTTGTTTTGCCTTTGCTAACACGTGTTGAACTTCTGGTACCTCCAGGTGCTGCCAATCAGGTGCCCACTATAAGATTTATTTCCAAGAAGCACTGATACATCTAAGAAATAATCTACCAAACATCAGGTTCCTCATTTTTTGTTTTAAGTCTACACATATAAAACCAAGCCCACAAAACCAGGGGCGGAGCTAGACTTTTTTGCAAGGGGTGGCAAATGTGGGTTTTAAACCCACATTGAAGGACATTGCTTTAATTCAGCTGTTTTATAAAAAACATTGAGCTGAAAATTTGTGTGGTCGTATTACAATGTTCTAAAAACAGTCACAACTTATTATTCAGCCTTTTTTTTAGACACACAAAGATAAGTGTAGAAGTAGCCAAAAACATACCAATTCTAAATGTTGATCAAAAATTTAAGATGGCCACCACAGCYATCTTTAAAAGGCTACAATTCAGCCATTTGAAGACTTATTGAGATTAATGTTTTTGTGAAGAAGYGATTGCTGATGCTAATCCTAAACTAGAACATAATGACCCCCGCACGCACCAACGTACCAGAACTCAGAAGTCTTTATTCCTAATAAATGTCATGCTACTAGGTACATCCCAAAATTGTAGTGGTTTGGGTGGGGGTCTTTTGGGGGGGGGCATTGGTTGACCTGATGGATAGCCCCTCATCAGAGCTACACAACCAAAGAAAATCTGAAGCTCCTATGTTTAATGTTTTTGAGCTATAACCATTTTGTATGTCCAGATAGCCCCTTTTCAGATAAATTGGGGGTGGGGTGGGGCACTGATTGGTGGGCCTGATGGATAGCCCTTCATCAGAGCTAAACAACAAAAGAAATCTGAAGCTCCTATGTTGAACAGTTTCTGAGTTATAAGCATTTTTGCATGTCCTGACGCCCCCTCTTCAAATGGGGTCTATTGTAAAACCGTTGGCTGGCGCAGTGTAGGTCCGACTCATCTACAGTCCTGCAAATTTCATGTTGATTGGTGCAGCTGTTTTTGTGCTACGGTTGACCAAAGTCCCTGAAAAAATAAATAAAATAAAATAAAACAAACCGTACGAAAACAATACGACTCCCGCTTACGCTTCGGGTGCGGGGGGGGTCATAATAAAAGTAACCATAAAGACTAATGTTAAATTTAATAAAGGGCAATTCAGCCACATTTAAACATACACAGCTGAAAATGATGAAAGATGAAATAGATGGGTGTGTTTCTCCAATTAATAATCAGCCTGTATTTACTTTGAAGTAACAAAAAATCTTATTTCATCTGGTATATCAAACAGCAGACCTCAGAGTCACGTGTGATTCTGTAAGTCAGTGACTCGTGTTCATGTGATTCCAAGTGAAGCTCCTGCAGTAAAACCTCACAGGTTCTGTGTGCCGGTCGTTTTCTCTCAATCTTCTTTTCCCACTGAACTTTTGGTGACACTTCGCCTCTAAAAGACCTCTTTTTTTTATTGCACGATGTGAGTTTTTCTTGTCCAA